GGCCATCTCAGGAACATCAGCGGCAGTCATTGTGGGGTCTTGTGAAAGGCCGTTGCACTTGGGCCGTTGAGATGGTCCACTGGCACTTTCGGACCAGCACCGTGGTCCCCGCGTCGTGGTCTCTTCATCATCAACAACTCACCCAATGCCAGCTGAAAAACCGCGGCTATAAACCGAGATTGCGATCTGTTTGGGCCCCGCCGCTCTTTCTCTTGGAGACTGCGTCTCAGCTTTCAAATTTCGTTGCTTCTTACAATGGCGGCCTCTGTTGGTGGTCTTAGTATGACGACGACTACCTGTCGCATGGCGACAAGGCACTGAGCCTGGCACTCAACCAGCTCACATGCGGTGAGCAATGCACACACACCGCACACAAGGCCAACAAGACGGCTGTGTGTGTGGCGGTTTCTTTTCGCTCAAGTCATTCCTACTGCGCGGCGGTGAGTGAGTGGGCACTGGAGAGGGTGTTGGTGACAACGGCATGTCATGTGTGTGTCTGCAGTGCTTGCTGCAGTGCGTCAGGAAGCTCGTCCGCGATGACCCCAACAACCGTCGTCGTCGTGCCAAGTGTCCCGCGTGCATATAGACTAAGACACCGAGGCGACACGCATAAGGGTGTCAATGGGTTGTTCGACGTCTTCCCCCCGCATTCGTGTGTGCATCATGTTGATCAGGGAGGAGACTGCGCACACGGACGTCCGCCTGAACTACGGCCTGAGGGAGGCCGTGGCTTCCCTGCTGGCCTTTCACATGCAGACGGTGAGAACAAACCGGCACTGGACAACTGACTTCGGCAGCTATGCTCTCGTGAGTGTGTGTGTGTGTGTGCCACTGTGTTGTTGGCAGGTGCTTGTGCCGCGGGGCACGTCGCTGACACGACGGAAGTACTGCGGCCTGCTGGGACTGCTAGGCGACCACAGCACCAGGCTGCAGTCCGTCTACCGGTATCTGTGCAGCCCACAAACACACGCAGAGAGACGGAGAGAGAGAGAGAGAGAGAGCATTGTCTGTGTGTACGTCAGGTCATCGCGCGACGGCACCACTGTGGCCGATCTGTTGCGTTGTGTCGGCGACAGGCAGCGCCTGCTGTTTGTGATCCGCAAGGACCACTACGTCTTCGGCGCCTCCATGTGCTGTCTCTGACTATCTCAATGCAGACTCTACAACGTGCCGACATGCAATGAGATCGCAGCGTTCATTCCTGATGGCAGTCACGGCAACAATCAGGAAGTTCTCATCTTCTGCCGACAAGACAGGTTTCCACGCATCAACGAGCTGAGTCCTCACTATGACGCTCTACATTTCGTGCTGCTGTTTCCTCGCGGCGAGCTGGGTTGGGAGAGAGACATCCCTTATCGAAACCCACAAATGCAGCAACGCTATTGGTGGGTAGATACATACGTCTCGCCACGTCACAGTCCCGACATTTTGTCTTCATGTCTTGATTCCGAGGCAGATGCGTGTTCTTGCAGGCAGCCCTCAGGGAACTGTCATTCGTGAGGAGAGGAACTATCTGTCGTGGCTCGCGGATGCGGCTGACCTGCACAAAGAGCTGCAAAAGAGGGTCCAAAGACAAGACACTCACCAAATGGGGCTTCGCTGTTTGAGGACTTCATCAAGGTCTCACTCGATAGCCTTCTGTAAGACAGTGGAGGCATCTTCATCGAGCTCGGCATATAAGTAGACCATCGTCGTTGTTTAGCTGAGTGGATCAAGACAAGAAGATAGTAAAGAGGGATCATAAAGGATGAATGATCCTTTCTTTCTTTTCTCTCAACGCAAAGTCGCTGTGTGCGTTTCTGCTAGCGAAGGTACAAGTAGACATCCGAGTCGATAAGGGACGGAACGAATGCGTGTCTCTTAGTGACGGATGCGGATAATAGAATGTAGCAACTCTGCGTGGGTTCATAGCGTGTCTAGTAAAAATTCTTGAAACAATCATCTTTCTCTACCATTTGCCCTTAGCCGCTCATCAGTCGGTCGATTTCACTACAAGATCGGCCTGCTTTCGACATGCACACATCCGTTGCCGAAACTGCATGCACTACGCATGCCCTCCATTCACCCCCTCTCTTCACATCCACGAGTAACTGATGGGGCAGTCGATGCCAAAGCTTGCCAGCTGAATGTCAACGTTTTCACTACCGCATGCACCACGCTTCGAACGAAAGAGACACCTGTGAATACAAACACCTGCAATGCACTTGGCAGAAAGAGAGAGATTGTACCTTTCGAGATCAGCTGCGAGTGTGTCGATTGCGCTCTTCAAGTGTTTGTTCTGCTCAGTAAGGCCCGTGGACTTCTCTTTGTATCGTTTCTCACTGCACGCAAGCTCATTGAGGCTGCAAATGAAGAGACGTCGACTGAGAGATGGAGACATGACTTGTATCACCTTTTCTCTTACGTGTCCACGTTTTGTTTCATTTTGTGTTCTCTCTGTTTAAGCTCCTCTACGAGCTTCGCCTCCTCATTCTTGTACTTTGTCAGCAAACCCTCGGCATTGAGCAGCTGCAGTCATCCATCCATCCATCCATTCAATCAATCAATCAGCTAACAGATGACCCAACAGCAGTACCTCTCTGTTTGCACGAGCGAGCTCCGATTCGAGGCTGCTAATGCGACCCTGAGAGGAGAACACTATCAAGGATGAGTATGTTTGAGATTATCTATCTCCTACGGTGGAGTCCTACCTGGCTTGCATCGAGTCGGCTTTCCATCTTCTTGCACAGCAATGCACCATCTCGCTGGGCAAAGGGGAACAAGACATGTTTCTGCATTGTGGTATGTTTGAGTTCCAGCTAGTACCTTTGATGAGGCGATCTCCGCCTGCACCGCCGTGCACTCTCCCCTGAGCTGAGCATTCTCCTTCTTCACCTTTTGCAGCTGGCCCTCTTTCTGCTGCAGCTGATCTTTCAGCTGCCTATCGGTCTGTTGCGCCGTCTGGCTCTCCGACAACTAGTGAACACACAAACGGCCAAATCGATGCTGTCTTGCGTATCGCTCGGCGCAATTGGCTCGGCGCCTGCCTGCGATTTGAGGCTTGCGATCTTCTGCGTGAGCTGACTGTTCTCGCCCTTAAGGCTGTCCATTTTCTGCTTGAACTCATTCACCTCATTCGTCAGGCCCGCCAGCCGCTGCTTGTCGGCAGCGACGGTCCTCTCCGTGTGAGTCTGAAGCCGTGCATCCATGGGCACATACACATTCCAAGGCGCAACCAAGTAATGTGCCGGACTGTGTACGAACCTTTTGAGCTGACAGCTCGAAGTACTTCAAGCGCTCCCCTTCCAGCTGCTGCGATGCCTGCCGAGCCATCGTGTCTGCCTGAACGACACGCAGAAACCAGCAAATACTCCCCCAGTTCATCGGCCCCCCTCCACGACAAGCGTTGCTCACGTGTTCCTTCTCCCTCTGCATTGCAGACAGCTCGTTGCGCAGTCGCGCCAACCTGTTCTCCATCTCTGCTCGGGCTACAGCATCATAGTGTGGATGGGGGCTTCCCGGCGCGGCGCTGGTGTACAGCACTCGGCTGTACGGCGGTGCTGCGGGGCTTGGAATGGGCGAGGGGTAGGACACCCACAATGGCGTCGTAGCAGCAGCCAGTGGCGGCTGAGAAGCCGCCTTGTCGTCGCTTCTCGATGCACCGAGGGCAGAAGAGCCTGCACAAACACGGGAGTTCTCCCACTTGTGGTGGAGAGGAAAGATCATGGCTCTTGCCACACCGCTTTGCGCGTTGTGTGTTGGGCTTGGAGGTGTTGGCGAGGCTTCTGCGATGGCCTGCTGTGTGCGCACGACCCCATTCAAATTCGGTTCGGGCCGTGCGGCCCGTGAGGACCACAGCATTTTCTGTTGGCTGCGCCTGCGGGCGGATGCATCTGGCCCCCTTCCCGCATGCATGCAGAAGGCGTGCTTGCGACTGAATGCATAAATGGGAGCTTTCAAGACGCGGCTTTGCCACCCACAGACCACCTACGTACGCATCCATATGTCCGCCCATCCATAAAAGAAACATCCATTTTGTGCCATCGACACAGCTTTCGCACTTCCACGCAACTCAGAGAGAGAACATAGAGAAGAGCATCCACGTATATATACGATAAAACGACCTCAATGTCGTGTACGGCACAAAACGGGGTGCAAGGGAGAAAAGGCGCTTGCTTCGCACATATGCATATATATCGGGTGCATATCGCACGACCTGAGTGTACTGTACGGCCAACACTGTGACACGGCTTGTCAGTCACAGCTCTAGTCCCTGCTTCCGGTTCAAATGCTTCAGGCAGAAGAAGGCCAACACGCGGAAACCAATGCCTGCATCCACGCACCACACAGAGTGCACCTTACTTCATCCCTCTCTCTCTCTGACACTCACCAAGGCCGAATAACGTCAAGCACGTGGCTGCGAAGGTCTCATGCTGCAGGCCATAGAACTCCAGGACGCCCTCCCCGCCGCCGATGCCCTCCTGAAATCGGCTGTCGTCGCCCTCGAACTCGACCAACATGTAGCCCATAAAGGTGTAGCTGCATGACAAACACACACAGAGAGAGAGAGGGTAGGTGTCAATCGTGTAGGGCGCGCCCGCCTACCGACCGGATAAAGGAGATCCACTTGATCCACCCGACCCTGACAGACACGAGAAACAGAAAGGAAGACACAGAAAGACAGGCAGACACGAATGCGTGGGCGCGTGGAGTGGGTGGGGTCGCGGGCGTTCTACCATGGCGGGATGTCAGCGTCCTTGAGGAAGAAGCCGCCATTCAAAATGAATACGATCAGCGTCAGGTCAGTGATGATGGTGCCGATGTCGGCCGAGGGAGTGGCGGCCCTGCACACACATGCCTGCGTCTACACAGGCCCACTGTCACTCTGCTACACCACCATACCCGATGAGCAGTGTCACGCCGAAAGCTGCGAAGATGCAGAGGTTGGACACCAGCACGAAGAGTAGGAACGACACGAAGTCGGGCCGCATTCCACACATCCAGTAGAAGATGCAGCAGAACAATGTGGGCGGGAACTGACACACAGACGGAAGCCACACAGAGAGAGGATCTGCCAGTCTGTCTGTCAGCCGCTGTCTGTGTGCTCAGTGGTCAATGCTCACGTGTGTGAAGAGCAGCTCTCCCACGTCCTTGGCGACGAAGTAGCTGAGCACCCCATGAATCCCATTGGCAGTGTCCCTGTGTGCCCACATATACGTAGAGCCATGACAAATGTGTGCGCACACAGATGCCCATGCACACCACACCGGTTCAGCAGGGCCCTTTCCGGTGGGAAGGTGGTCAGAACGGAGAGCGTCCCGAAGGCGAAGTTGATGGCGACGAAGAAGAAGGCGCCCGCCCTGTTCTGCGCGTCAGAAAACGACTCATCGCCCAGCTGCCTGCAGAGCAAATACGAAGGCCAAATCATCAGACAGGCCGACTCTCTCTGTGCGTGTGTCTGTCTGTGTGTCTGTGTGTACCAGAAAACTGCACCGAGCACGAAGCCAAGGAAACAGTTCTGCATTATGTCGGCGAATGTCTTCATCGGGTTGCGGATCGAGTTCAACACCATTCTGTACACAATTACACACACACGTGTGTGTTGATGTGTGTGTCTGTGTGTGTCAGCGTGTGTGCGACCGACCTCTGTGTGAGGATCCCGGCCTCTCTGGCGAAGGATGCCACGCCATCGGCCAGCCAGTTCCTGGCCTGCATGAGGCCGGAGCTCCGCGCACACGGCAGCGTCTGGCTTCTGCACGAAACAAGGCATGCGATCGATATCTGTGCCGTCCCTCTCGTGCTCACTTTTGTTTGTCGAGGTTGTGTTTGATGTTGGCGGCGATGGTTTGTGCCATGGGGCTCGCCGCGAAGAGCGACGGGAAGGTGTCAATGGTGCTCGATGAGACGGAGAACCGGCCATTAACAGCTGAAAGGCAGACAGAGACCACCGTCAATCTATGTGTGTGTGTGTGTGTGTGTGTGGGTGTGTGAGGAAGTGTCCTGGTAGTGTGCTACCCTGTTCCTCTTTCTCTTTGTTGATGATTGCGAGTGCGGTGCCCTTCTCAGTGTCATCCGTCCTGTCCGTCACGGCATCCGGCGCAACGCTCGAGAAGGCATCCTTCGGGGTGCTGGTGCGGGGGGTGCTGGTGGTGTGGGTGTTGCTGTTGTTGCTGGACCGCTGAACACAGAGGGACAAAGTCCCATATACACACATGGATTTGTCGCTACTCTCACGCTCTCAGTGAGGAGATCGAGCAGAAAGTCGGCGGGATTGAAGTGTGCCGGGCAAGGATACCTAACTCACACACACGGAGACCATCCACCAGCTGCACTTATGTGTGTATGTGTGTGTCCTGCCGCCACACACTCACCCGAGCTGTTCGAACCACTCGTCGGCCTTGACTGCCGGCCCCTGGTAGACCACCGAGCCACGACTCAGGAGCAGCAGCTGATCGAACAGAGCGAACACTTGCGAGCGCTGCAGCCATCCATCCACACACACCCACACAGGGCAACGAGCTCATCGATTGGCACACAAGCCACGTGCATACCCACCGGCTGATGGACGGTGCAAATGATGGTCCTGCCGGCCCTGCAGACATCCATCCATCCATCCATCCATCCAGAAACCAGCAGAACGCGTGTGTGCGTGCGTCTTTCCGCTCACCTTGCCAGCTGCACGAGCAGCTTGAGCATGTCATACGCCAGGGCCGCATCAAGCCCACTGGTCGGCTCGTCCAGACACAGCAAGGCGGGGTCATCCAAAAGCTCTATCGCGATGGACACCCTCTTCTTCTCGCCGCCAGAGATGCCCTTACTGGCGCTCCCGCCCACGAGCGTCCTTCGGCACCTGTCCAGACCTGCACTTAGGCATGCAGACAGACGGATGTGCATCATATCTGCGTATGTGTGAGTATGGTGGCGGTGCTTGCTGACCCAGCTCGTTGATGACACGCTCCACCCGGTCGTTCCTCTCGTACTTGGAGCATTTCTTGAGCTTGAGGGCGGCGTTGAGGCGGAGAGTCTCTTCTACTGTCAGGAAGTCCAGCAGGCAGTCACTCTGCATCACATAGCTGTGCAACCGGCCACACACACAGGGATCCCTCCACACCAACATGGCGACTGACTGTGCCCTTCACCTGACCTGACGAACTTCTGCCTGTTTGAAGGGTTTGCTTGGCCGTTGAAGTAGACGTCGCCCTTGCGCTCGCCCCCCGTGACGCGGCCGGCTATCAAATTTATCAGGGTGGTCTTGCCCGAGCCACTCGGCCCCTGCAGGCGCACACAATTCACACACAGAATGACTGGCTGCTCTGTGTGTGTGTGTGTGCGCGTGTATCTGTGGCTACCATGATAGCAAGTAACTGTCCAGGCCGCACGATGAGGTCCACATCTTTGATGATCTGCTTCTTCGTCTGGTGCTTGCGATTCGTCACAATCCAGTAGGACAGATCTGCACAAACACACACGCAAGGCAAGGCGAACAACAGATCTGACTGTCGTCCTCTCTGTCTGATAGATCTCAGTAATGCACCTCACCTTTGGCGCAGACAGTGATGGGATCGTGCCGCGCTAGGCCTCGGTCCGCCATCGCTGCTCGACGTGGAGGTAGAGCTCTCACTCAGAAGCTCGCAAGTCCGATTCTTCCCGTCAGGGGGCAGCAATCCATGGCGTGAAAAGCTCTCTGCAGGAAACTCACGGCAACCGCCACGCCCTTGCCAGATCAGGCGTCGCAGATCAACTGAACAATTTGAAGACATGCAGCCCCAGTGCAGTTTGGCGAGATGCCCAGAGCTGACTCAGGTGACTGAATGCGAGGCGGATTGAGCTTATGTGACTGACTGCCCATCGATCGTACATCATGATGCAACAAATGAAGATAAAGTCGATCGACAAGAGGCCATGCAGACAAACAGGCCCATGCGCTCATCCACACACACGACAGGCAGGAGCACGGCACGAAAAGGCGGACAGGCAGGAGACAAACGATCGACATACAGGAAGGGATGCATGTCTGTAGCGGGCGGTTGATCGATCAACGGAAAAGCATATGTATCGACTACCGCTTGATGGATCCGGTCAAGTGCACATCGCCCCACACGAGACGTTCGTCCAGACATTCACCACACCAATCCCAATACACTGTCAGACATGCTCATCCATGAGTTGTTTGTGTGTCCCGGCAGGCAGGCGTCACTGATTGGCTCGGCAGCTATTCCTCCTGTTCCTGCCTGACGGCCTCGAGTTGTCGCAGCAGCTCATCCACTCGCTTCGTCAACTCCTCATTGCGCTTCTTCAGCTCTTCGTTCTCAGCACGAAGCTCATCTATGTCAACCCCTACACACACACACACACATGGAAAGGCAGACAGGCAGACAGAGACAGGGACACCCGGAGACAGCACGTCACACGGTGCCCCTGGGGGGCGTTGGTCGCTGTGTGTGCCTTGTTCACCCACCTGTGGGTGCGCCGAGGTGTTTTTTGATGAAGTCGATAGCGTTGACGGGACGCTCCGGCTCCTCATACAGGCCCACCAGCACGCGAGTCAGCTGCTGAATTACACCGTTCTTCTCCAAATACTTTCGAAACTCCTCCTTCTGGTGATCTGCACTCTGGTAACTCATCCCTGACAATCACCAAGAGAATATCAGCGAACGGACCCAAACGAGCGGAAATAAAGAGGGGCCCGCCTGAAGCAGTCACAGACACAAACACACGTCACGCAGGATGGCCATATGTCCACCAATTTCGCTTCTTTCGGCGTGCTGTGGCATACCAAAAGCTCAGCGGAGGCTGCGAGGATGAGCTCCACTGACAGACGTGGAGGTGGGAACCGCCGATTCCAGCTGTGCAAGAGGCCTCTCCTGGAGAGCTCGGGTGGCCCGGAGGAGAAGAAAAAGGCGAAAGGAAAAACTTTAAGCTCGCACCGGATTGGGGCCGAGCGATTTGGGGCCGAGGGACTTGCAGCAGCTCTCTGACCTCTGTGAGGCTTGTCAGTGCAAAGTTCTGCAATAGAATCATCAGTTTGCCTGGAAGACCCTGGAGACGGCAGCGAGCGATGCGCTACAGCCATCGACCAGAAGCCTCTTTGTTTTCTGCGGTTTATCCCATTGATTTCGCAGGGGAGTGTCACTCAATAAAAACTCCGCTGGCTGTGCGCGTCCGTATCCACCCATCGCCCGACATACTCTCATGAACGCGATCCACAAGGAGGGGAAGGGATGAGTGCCAAAAACGGCACCACAACTACAAACACAGACGCGCACACACACCCGCACGCATGGCATGTCAGACAGAACGAACGGCCACAGGGGAGTCAGACACACGTGACGTACGAAGGCGCATCAGTGGCTGGCAGCACAAACGTCAACAAAAAGGCGACAGGCAGGCAGCACAAACGTCAAAAAGGCGACGCGATGGCCATGCACTCACTCACTCAGATGGATGGATGGCTGCATACGAACGGCGAGAGAGGAAGAGAGACACACAGGTGCGATAGACGACAGGATGGATGGACTCACGAGTTGTGAGCGGATCATTCTTGACTGCACTCCTCTGTCTGAATGAATGAGTGAATGAATGAACTGCTGCGCAGCCACCTTCCCTCCACGGCATGGACGCATGAGCATTATCTCGCCTCGCCTCGCCAAAAAAACCCTTCAAAAATCCCTCCCTCCCTCTCTCCCGCCAGCATGGCGTACACACACACAGACAAACACGCACACACGTCCGTCACACACAGCAAAAAGGCGGTGCTGCTGATCACCCACACTCACACACATAACCCCCTCGCCCACACGTGTCAGCACACGCATTAGCTACCATCCGCTGCCCGTGTGTGTGCCGCCCCTGAACGAGGGCATGCCCATGGCTGGGTTGGGGTTGCTGACGGTGGGCGGGAAGAGCTTGGGGTTGGCCGACTCAGGGAAAGCGCGGGGCAGCACCGAGTCGCCCATCAGGTACTCGTCGATCTTGTGCGCCGCATCGCGGCCCTCGGCTATCGCCCACACAACCAATGTCGCACCCCTGCACACACACACACACACACAGAGCAGCAGATGGACGCCTGTTTATTCTCTGAGGGGAGGGGGCTTCTTGCCTTCTGCAGTCGCCGCATGCGAAGACGCCGGGCACGTTTGTCCTGAAGTCGCCCATGGCCGCGTCGATGTTGCTGGTCCGCTTGTCGACATTGACCGTGGTGCCGCTCCATGTGGTCGCCTCGGGCCCCAGGAAGCCCATGGCGAGCAGCACAATGTCGGCCTTGTAGACCTTCTCGGTGCCGGGCATGGCCTCCATGCGGGCCCTGCCGGTCTTGGGGTCCTTCTGCCAGTGCATGCGGATGGCCTTGATGCCCCCGACGCGAGTCGGGTCGCGGTCATGTGGCACGAACTCGACACCCCTGCACACACACACACACACACACGCGGCGTGATTGGTAACTTGTGCGTTTGTTGGGGGTGTGTCGGAGGCTGGGACGGCCGGCTTACTTGACGCAGTATTCTCTCGGGTCTCTCCCCTGCATGACGTGGCACTCGGCGTGTCCGTAGTCCACACGGAAGAACTCACCCCACTGCCACATGCACAAACACACGTGCCATGCAGTCATCCCGACCCCCATCTGGCTGTGGCTGGCTGTGTGTATACCTGCGGCCAGGGGTTGTTGTCCGGTCGGTTCTTGGGCGCCTCCTCGCGCCGCGAGAACTGCAGCACCGATGCCGCCCCCATACGAATCGCCGTCCCCAGGCAGTCGACCGCCGTGTCGCCCCCACCAATCACAATCACGTGCTTGTCCTGCGCGTCGATGTAGTCGCTGTCCTGCATGTCCGAGTCAAGGAGGGACTTCTGGCTCATGTGGAGGAAGTCCATCGCCTGGTGGATGCCCTCGAGCTCCCAGCCGTTGATCTTGAACTCCCGCGACGCAGTGGCGCCTGTGGCGAGGAGGACGGCGTCGAACTCCTCGCGGAGCTCCTCGAGAGTCTTGTCCTTGCCGATCTCGACGCTGGTGTGGAAGGTGATGCCCTCTGCTTGAAGCAGGTCCACGCGACGCTGGGACAGAGAGAGGGAGAGGGCATGGGCTGATCCATCCATCCATCCCATCCATCCCATCCATGCCATCACACCTGGACGATTTTGGTCTTGTCGAGCTTCATGTTGGGTATGCCGTACATGAGGAGCCCACCGACGCGGTCGGACCGCTCGAAGACGGTGACGGAGTGGCCCGCACGGTTGAGCTGCTGGGCCGCCGCCAAACCAGCTGGGCCGCTCCCGATGATCGCCACCTGCTTGTAAGTCCGCACCTGACACACACAAAGAGACACACAGACGTCTCTCTCTCTCTCTCTGTGTGTGTGTGTGTGTGTGTGTGTTGTGGCTTGGCTGTTGGCTGACCTTGGGCGGCCTAGGTTTGATCCATCCCTTTGAGAAGGCGTAGTCGATGATGGCGACCTCGATGCTCTTGATGGCGACGCTCTTCTCGTTGATGCCCAGCACACAGGACTCCTCGCAGGGGGCGGGGCAGATGCGGCCAGTGAACTCGGGGAAGTTGTTCGTGTCGAGCAGACGCTCCAACGCCTGAACACCATCCCCACACACAACGAGATGCTCTCCCTCTCCCTCTCTCTGTCTCTGTGTGCGTGTGGGTGGTGTGTGTGTGCACCTGTTTCCAGTTGCCCTCGTAGGTGAGAGCATTCCATGTTGGGATTCTGTTGCCGAGAGGGCAGCCGCCGCCCTGCGGATTGGGGTAGTGGCACGTGGGGGTCCCGCAGTCCATGCACCTGAAACCACCACCACCACACACACAGACACACACACACATGAGGCATATGGTGTGGGTGTGGGTGTGGGTGCGTTGGTGTGAGGGTAACCTGGCGGCCTGTGTGCGCAGGAGCTGGTCGTAGAGTCTGCTTCGCGAGTTGGTGGGGACGGTGATCTCCTCCCAGTCCAGGACACGAACCTTCGGCTCACGGTACGGATGGGCCTCCTTCTCGTACCTAGGGGTGAGAGCAGCAGAGAGGGATGGATACCTGTCGATGGGCCCTTTCCCCCTCTCTCTCTCTCTCTCTGCAGTGACTGACTTGTGGAATCCTTTTTTCTTGTCCGGGAAGGCGACGCTCTTTGGCCGTGAGACGAGGTCCTCCATGTCGAGTGCCTGGCGGGCCTTCTCCATGCTCATACTACACCAACGACACAGAGAGAACGGACACACACAGAGAGGGAGAGATGGTGTGCATGCCGCCCAGCTGGGCCCGCGAGCTCACCCCTCGTTGTTGAAGGTGAGTGGCGTGGAGTCGACGAAGTCCTCGGCAGTGAAGTTGCTGACCAGCTGCTCGCGCGCGCCGTCCACGGGGGCCTTCTCGACCATCGCGCCCTGGCCATTCTGCGGCTCGGGAATCTCCTCCTCTGCAACACACACACACACACACACATGAATGGGGGGTGGGTGCAAAGGGGTGAGGTGTGTGTGTGTCGGGCGTGGCGTGCCTGGTCTGGTCTTTGCCCTTGGTACTGCTGATGCTGCTGAGGGTATCATGGCGTCGTTGAGTCGCCGCTCGAGCTCCTGCTTCTCCTGAGAGATCCTCCGCTTCAACATCTCCTTGGTTGCCTGAATGAACATAATACAACACACAATACCAATACACACACAGACGATGGACACACAGTGGAAGGTCTGGTCTGTCTGCCGCTCACAGTCTTGAACAGCCGCGACGCCACTTTGTTGTCGAGCACGTTGCTGCCCATCAGCTGCAGAGTGCCGCGATGGTGGCCCTTCCGCCACTGTATCACACACACACAAATTGATGCATCCTTACCCACCCTCTCTGTGCGTGTCTGTGCTGTGTGTGTACCATCATGTACTGTGCCCTGAAGGCCATCTGGAAGAGCTCCTCCTCCCTCTCGTCGAACTCGGCGCTCTTGCCGCTCTTGAGGGTGCTCTGCGCCCGCGGCACCAACACCTCCTCCTTGCCCGTCATGGCGGCCGTCGAAGTGTCGTCCTTGATCATGCGCAGCATCGAGTTGCCGCTTGCCACACCAGCAATCTCCTACAACACACACACACACACACACATTGGGGGCCGGGTGAGGGAGGGAGGGAGTACAAGCGCAATGGTGACCTGGAAGGTGGAGTCGTTCTTGAGGTTTTTGTTGAGCCACTGCCTGTATCTCTGCTGCGTCTGCTCGTTGAGGAGCGCCCTGAAGGGGACGGCCATCTTGCGATTGATGGCGCGCATGTTGAGCTGGTAGGCGATGGACTCCCAGTCGTTGAGGATGGCCCCGGCCACCTTGCTGCCCGTCCTGACGTGGTCGGCGATGGCCTCCCTCAACACACGCTTGTAGTCCTTCGGGAAGACCTTAGTGAAGCTGGTGACACACACGGGGTGTGGGAGTGCGCTTCTCTCATGGTGTGTGCGCCGGCCTCTCGCTCTCTCTCTGTGTGTGTGAGGAGTGTTAAGAGAGTCCTTACCGCTGGCTGTATTCCTTCCAGTTGTTGATGATGAGTTTGGCGCGCTCGCTGCGGGTGCGGTCGTAGTGCTCGTTGACGAGGTTCTCCAGGGTGCGCTTGTCCTCCAAAGACGTCACGGGCTCCAAATACACCATCTGGTCGTTGACGTTGTCCTGTTTGTTGCGATGCAATGATAGACACAGAAACGAAAACACACACATGGATGGGGGCGTGTGTGTGTGGGTGTGGGTGTGGGTGTGTGTGTGTGTTGAGGGCTTGGGCAGCCACCTTGTCGATGTCGAGAAGGTATGCGATGCCGCCGCTCATGCCGGCAGCGAAGTTCTGACCGATCTCGCCAAGAATCACTACCAAACCACTGCACACACAGAGACACAGAGAAGGGGATGCATCGACGCCCACCAATGTGTGTGTGTGTGTGTGTGTGTGGTGTGTGTGTCAGATGGTGTCTGTCCCACCGAGTCATGTACTCGCATCCGTGGTCGCCAACGCCCTCCACTACAGCAATGGCCCCGCTATTCCTCACTGCAAACCGCTCGGCAGCCACCCCCGCAAAGAAGGCGCGCCCGTCCGTCGCGCCATACAAACAGGCGTTGCCAACCTGACATACACCCACACACACACACACACACACGGACACACACACACGGATGTGTCACATCCTCTCTCACGCCCTCCCTCCCTCCCTCCCTCTCTCTCTGTGCCCACAATGATGTTGCCGTGGCTCTCATTGAAGAACGGCGAGTCCTTCGGCGGCCTCACCACAACATGCCCCCCGCTCAGCCCCTTGCCCGTGTAGTCGTTGGCATCCCCTTGCAGGTCAAAGGTGATCCCGGGGGCCAGCCATGCGCCGAAGGACTGGCCAGCACTGCCGCGGAAGCGCACGACGATGGTGCCGGGGGGCATGCCCTGGGCGCCGTAGCGGCGGGTGACCTCGTAGCTCAGAATGCCGCCCACGGTGCGATCGACGTTCCTGACGGGCATGTGCAGGACGGTCTTGGCCTGCTTCTGCAGCGACCGGACCGACAGACGCACAATCTCACGGTCGATCACCTGCATTTTATGCACACATCACAGTGAGATGCATCCCTCTGTTTGTGTGTATCACGGTGTGCCGTGTGCTGACTTTGTCAAGTTCATGGTCCTGCGCCATTCTGCAGCACATGCCAGGGGGAACCGACTGCGCCAGCGACTGTGGGCCGCCCGACGGCTGCTGCGCGTCGGTCAGCTGCCACGCCGGGTACAGCAGCTGCACACACACATATACACACATATACACCACACCCGTGACCATCGGTGTAAGCGTGTGTGTCGACCTACCTTTGAGAGGTCGATCTCGCGGGTCTTATAGTGTTCCTTGAGAGACGGCTTCGGGCGCAACAGATCGGCACGGCCCACCATGTCGTCTACACACACGCAAAAAAAAAAGAAGGCAAAACAAATGGAGGCTGGTTTGTTTGGGTGTGCTTAGGGCACACGGACTGGCGCACCTACCGTATTTTCTGATGCCGAGTTGGGCCATGATGGCGCGCACCTCCTCGCCCACCAGGAACAGGTAGTTGAGGACGTGCTCGGGCTTGCCCGTGAACTTCTTCCGAAGCTCCTCATCCTAACTCCCACACACACACACACACACAAATGGGCCTGTCTGCCATCCACCCGTCCAGGCAACCACGTCTGCAAACCTGTGTGGCAATCCCGACGGGGCACGTGTTGAGATGGCACTTGCGCATCATGATGCACCCCAGGGCGATCAGCGGCTGTGTCGAGAAGCACACCTCCTCCGCGCCCAGCAGGGCGGCGTACACGACGTCGCGGCCCGTCTTGATCTGCCCGTCCGTCTGCAGAATGACCTTCTCCCTGAGACCGTTGAGTACGAGCGTCTGGTGGGTCTCGGCCAGGCCGATCTCCCAGGGGAGGCCGGCGTGCTTGATCGACGTCCACTTGGCCGCACCTGTGTGTGCAGCACACACACACATACACACAGGACGTTCGCACAGGCAGAGATGGGTGCATTGTGTGGGTGGGGGTTACCAGTGCCGCCTGACATGCCGCTGATGAGGAGGTGGTCTGTCTTGCCCTTGACAATGCCCGCAGCTATGATCCCCACACCCACCTGCACAATCACACACAGACACAGACACACCCACACACGTATCTCAATCAGATGCTCATCGGCCCATCTCTCTCTCTCTCCGTCTCCCTCTCCCTCTGCATACCTTCGACACCAGCTTGACGCTCACGCGTGCCTCCGGGTTTGCATTCTTGAGGTCGCTGATGAGCTGCGCGACGTCCTCAATGCTGTACATGTCATGGTGGGGCGGCGGGGATATCAGCCCCACCCCCGGGGTGCTCTTGCGCGTCTCAGCAATCTTGCCCACTACCTTGTGGCCAGGCAGCTCACCGCCCTCACCAGGCTTCGCACCCTGTCAACACACACACACACACACACACACATCCATCCATCCATCGGCAGAAAGATGTGCTGTAGTGTCCGATGGACCTGTGCGAGCTTGATCTGAAGCTCGTCTGCGTTGACGAGGTACTGGCTGGTGACGCCGAAGCGGCCGCTGGCGATCTGCTTGATGGCGCTGCGCTTGTTCTCCCCGTTGGCCCCGGGCAGGTAGCGATCGTCGCTCTCGCCGCCCTCCCCCGTGTTGGACCTGCCGCCGATCCTGTTCATGGCGATGGCCAGAGCCTTGTGGGCCTCCTCGCTTATCGAACCGTACGACATCGCACCGGTCGCGAAACGCCTGGTTTGTCACACACAGACGCATGTGTGCGTGTGTGTGTGTGTGTGTGTTGGGGGGAGGGGGGCAGGGTGTGTGTGTGTGGTGTGCATACTTGACAATGGCTGCGACAGACTCCACCTCCTCGATGGCGATGGGCGTGCACTTGTCGAGGGCCAGCTCGAAGGAGCCGCGGAGCTCGCACCGATCCACCAAGGCGTTCTGGAAGTCGGAAAACTCCCTGCACCCACCCAAACCACACACACCCACACACAAGATCACCATACACAAGCATGACTGACACCCATCCCCCTCTCTGATTCTCACCGGTATGACTCGCGAGAATTTCTGCGCGCGGCGTCCTGCACTTTGGCGATGGAGTCGGGGTGGTTCATGTGCAGCTCGGTGTCGTGGATGGAGCGGAAGTGGTAGACGCCGTCCTCGTCAAACTCCTCGACGTCCATGTCGACCAGGGGGGGCAGCTCGCGCCGGGGGAAGGCCTGGTTGTGCAGCCTGACAAACAAACACAACACAGATGCACTCGGCAATGGTCTCTCTCTCTCTCTGCCTGTGTCTGTGTGAGGGAGGGAGGGAGGGAGGATTACATATACCTGAGTGCGTCGACGGCGAATACGTCGAGGCCGACGCCGCCGATGACTGAGGCGCATCCCGTGAAGCACGTGTCGATGACCTTCTGGCTCAGGCCGACCGCTTGGAACATACCCGCACCTAAGCACACACAGGGAGGGATACATCCACACAAGCGGAGAGAGAGAGAGAGAGAGAGGCGCATTTTGGTGGATGGGGGCGTACCTTTGTACGACATGAGTGTGGAGATGCCGAACTTGGACATGACCTTCAACACGCCCGCGTGGACCGCCACCCTGCACACACACACACACACACACACACACATCCCACGCACGCCACCATGTTGGCTGCCGGGCTCTCTCTTCCCCACTATGTCTGCGTCTCTCTCCTGTGCTTGCCTGTAGTTCTCAATCATTTTGGCCAGCTCCATCTTGGGCTCGTTCTGGGAGAAACGCACTCGGCTCTGACAACACACACACGCGCGCAGTGGACACATCACACACATTCAGTTGCGTGCGGCCGACCCTCACCAGGCTATGGTACGCCATGTACGGGTAGATGGCGTCAGCGCCAAACCCCAGCAACACGCAGATCTGGTGCACCTCGAAAGCGTCGCCCGTCTCGATGACCAAGGCGCAGTCCGACCGCAGCTTCTGCTGGATCAGGTGCTGGTGCACCGCGCCCACTATCAGCGACGCGAAGATCGGCACGCGCGACTCGTTGAAGCGGCGGTCCGACAAGACGATGATGGCCTTGCCGCTGCTCACGGCATCAGATGCCTCACGGCACACTGATGGGTGTGGTGCAATAAGGAGAGGAAAATGTATGTATGAGGCGGAGAGGATGAGAGGGTGTGGGTGTGGGAGAGGCGCTGACCTTCCTTCATCCTGGTCTCCATCCACGCAGGTCCGTCTCTGCTGTCCCATGTGATGTCGATGCGGTGGGCGGGGAAGCCTTCGAGCGACACCAACGCGCGGAATCGACCGGGGTCCAACACGGGCTCCTGCACACCCAACCACACACAAGACACACACATTCAGACCCATGCATGCGTGTGTGATCTGGATGTGTGTGTGGAGGGGCGGAGAGGACGGAAGTAGCTACCTCTAGGACGATTCTGTTGCAGTGCTGTGGCGTCTCCTTGAGCAAGTCCTGCTCCGGGCCAATCGGGCACTCGAGCGACATCACGTTGGCTTCGCGGATGGGGTCGATCGCAGGATTCGTCGCCTGGACGCAGTGCACCACCACCACCACCACCACACAGAGCCATGAATGAATCGACACAGAGGGATGTGTGTCAGTCAACACGCGCACCTGCGCGAACATCTGTGCGAAGTAGTCGGCAGGGTTTCTGGGCAGCTTGGAGAGGCACGCGAGAGGGATGTCATTGCCCATGCTGCCCAGCGACTCGGCCGACCGCTTGGCCATCGGCGCCACCAGCATGTCGAACTTCTCGTACGAGTAGCCGAACATCTGCACACAAGGACAGACAGATGCGTTGACCTGTGTGTGCACATTGATGTGTGGCCGGGGGGGGGAGGGGGGAGGGGGCTTGCCTTCATGCGCCGGATCATCTTCTTGTCGTCGAGCATCAGCTCGGCCTTCAAGTCGTCGCCTGAAGCGCACACAGGCATTTCGATAAGCGAGGGACTGCTTGGCCACCGCCACACCACACCACCGGACCCACCTACCTAGCACGGGCTGCGTGAGGTCGGCCAGCCGCACAGTGTTCTTCTTCACCCACTCAGCGTATGGATGCATACGGGAGATCCTGACACACAACACAACACCAATCCACAATCGTTCAAGTCCACCCACATATATGTGTGTCTAGGGAAGCCTGTGTGGTCTCTTCTGCGCTTACGAGGCCTTGAGTGCCTCGTCTTCCACGAGACGCTTCTGCTGGAAGTCGATCAGCAGCATCCGGCCGGGGCGGAGGCGGCCCTTGAACCGAATCTACACACAACACACCCACACACAAAACAGCCAGCCCACAGATGCCCGCAGGTCGAATGGCAATGCAGCAGCCGACCGACGCACCTGGCTCGAAGCCACATCGACCACGCCCACTTCGCTGCCGAGAATGAGCCGGTCATCGACGGTGATGTAGTAGCGGCCCGGCCGCAGCCCGTTGCGGTCGAGCGTGGCGCCCAGCTTCTTGCCGTCGGTGAAGGCCACCAGGGCAGGCCCGTCCCACGGCTCCATCATGCAGGAGTGGTACTGGTAGAAGGCCCGTTTCTCCTCGGTCATGCTGCTGTTGTTCTGCCAGGCCTCGGGCACGAGCATCATGATGACGTGCTCGATCGGCCGGCCGGCCATGGTGAGGAAGTCGACCACTGAGTCCAACGTGCTCGAGTCGGATCTGGAAGCCACACACAACCAGTCAATGCCACGTGTGTGTGGGTGCTTCCTTCCGCCTGTGTATCACGCACGGCATGTGTGTGTGTGTGTGTCTGTGTATGCGTGACTCATTTACCCGCAGCCCTCATCGATTGGGACGAGGTCGGCCAGGGGCACTGATGCGAACGCCTTGGGCGTGGCCTTCATGAGGCCCTCCCGAGCCCGCAGCCAGTTGCGGTTGCCCTCGATCGTGTTGATCTCGCCGTTGTGGCAGATGCGACGGAACCTGGCTCACACACACATGGACAGCCGTAAATGGGCACACAGACACACGTGTGTGCGTGCGTGTGTGTTGCTGGCTTACGGGTGTGCTCGCTGCCAGTTGGGGAAGGTGTTGGTAGAGAATCGGGAGTGGACGAGTGCCAGGTACGAGGTGAGGTCCTCGTCCATGAGGTCGTCAAAGTAGTTGAACAGCTGCTCCGCCTGAAACTGACCTTTGTACACCACCGTGCGGCTCGAGAAACTGACAGACAGACAGACAGACAGAACGGACAGAGAGAGATCAGTCAGCACACATCTCATCGGTGGTATGTATTTCTGCCCACACCATACCCACACGCATCCGGCTCACACACCTGCAGATGTAGATGGTCTGCTCTTTGGCTAGCTTCTTGCGGACGATGTAGAGGAGGGTCTCGAGGTCGGCGGGCAGCCCCTCAATGACGGCGACGGTCTCCCGCACAGATACGGCGTCACTCTCGTTGTCAGTGAACTGCTTCGACAGCCGGGGCATCACCTCACGGCTCATCGGGGACGCCTCATCTTCCTCGCAATCCTATGGACACACACACACAGAGGGAGGAATCGTCTCCTACGTGTGCTGGTCTCATGTCTGGCTTGCTTACCACGAGGTCGGTGGGCATGCTGACAAACACTTGGGCGATGAACGGCTCGGTGGCTTTGGCCTTGGGGCCCAGAATGGTCGACTTGGTAGGTAGAGGGGCGCGCCAACCCAGCACCACCAAGCCATGCTGTCGGACGGTGCGCTCAATCATCTGGCACGCACAGGCAGGGAGCCAGGCAAACATCGGCGCGTGTTGGTGTGTTGGCGTGGCCAGCTGGTGGTCCTCTGACCTCACCTCCATGGCAGCGTGTCGGTCCATTTCACCCTTTGGGAGGAAGAACATGCCGACGCCATACCTGCCCTGCGGCGGCAGGTGGAAGGAGAACTGAGTCACCTTCCTGTAAAAGGCATGCGGCAGACCCAACATGATGCCCGCACCTGACACACAACACACAACACACGACACACACACGTGCTTGGCTGTCGGCTTGCTGGCTGCCCTCTCATCTGCGTGTGCTGTGCTGTGAATGAGTGCCTGACCATCTCCGTCTTCGCCTTGCTTGGCTCCTCGATGGGTCATGCGAACCAGCAGCTTATACGCATCACTCACCGTCCTCCGCGTGTACTGCACACACACACACACACACACACACACACGGTGACACACCGAGATGGAAAACACGACACAACACGCACACATGACCCTCCCTCTGCCACCCGCACCCGCACCCCTCACTGACCCGTCCCTGAAGATCAGCGATGCAGCCGACGCCACACGCATCCTGCTCGCGAGAGGGGTCGTACAGGCCACGATTCGATGGTTCCCTCGCAAACGCCATGGGAAAAACACTCGCTACGGCAAGACAGACGCCTACAAACTCTCACAGCCGGCTGATAGCGGCAACGCAGTTCTGAACGCACAGGCAGCTTCACACTACCTGCAACGTGACGCTGGAATGGCCGCCGTCTCGTGTAGACACGGCCGATTTCATTTGAAGAAGCTCGCATTTTTGTTTACAGAGGCCCCTGTCTCTTTGCGGGAATGCTTTGTCTCGCGGTTGTTGCGTTTGTTCTGCTGGCCATGGTGGCACCCGGTTGTCACGCCCGACGTCTGCACCCGAATTCGTCAAGTTCATGGCGGTCTGCGGCCGGTGACTCAGAGCCCCAGTGGCAGCTTCCCTGGAAGGAAAAGCAAGGCGTTTGTGACCACGAGGACGCTGCAAAAGGTGCAATCGACGTCTGCTCGATCACCTGGAATGTTGGCAGCGAATGGGTGGGCGCGGCAGCGCCGAGTCTCTCCGATCTGCACGCGAACTTCTCAGGCTCTTGTCGCTTCCCTTTGTCTTGCAGCACCACGCGGCCACCGGAGGCGTCGTCGGCGACGAGCTCTTCGGCTCGCTCAAGGTCCTCTTGAGCAAATGCTTTGGCAGGAGTGCAGATGTCATTCAGGTGCCAACATAATGATTTCAACAGTCATTCAGGTGTGCGCATCCTTCTCTTTATCGGCATCTCTCAGCTCACGCTGCAAGAGAATGGCGAGGAGGGCCTCGTACCTTTCCTCTGCGACCAGCTGCCGGATCAGCCGAAATACGAGCTCTTCGTCTTTGACGGTGCAAGCGCAGGAGCAGGACACTCACTCATTGACGAGAGAGTGGTGCGTGTCTTACTCTGTCCTGTTCAGGCGATCCCAGCGTGTCACCCGGCAATTACACTGACGTCGAGATCGAGCAGGAGGGCATCGAGCACCGACTCTTTATGACCAACTATGAACTGAACAGCCCGTGCGCGACCTTCAACGAAGTCGACACACTGGAAGAGGAGGATGAGCATCCTGAGGATGCTGAAGTGAATAAGGGTGTGGTCATGGCGGTCTTTGTCAGAGGGCGGACAGCAACGATGTCTCAGCCTGAAGGATGGGCCATTTACTTCCAGCTGAGTGGCTGGGCGGGATGGGCGCGGAAGAGCATTGTCAACTCCCGAAACGCGCTGATAGGCTGCGCAGCGACCACGGCAACGAAAGAGGCCGTGTTCGCGAAAATACCCATCTTCATCAAGGGCCACGAGGTGCACATCTGCTTTGCCGGGGCGCATACCGACAGCAGCACCGACCCGGGAAGGCGCATGCGGCAGGCGAGCAAAATCCTCGACTTTTTTCGCCCTGATGGGGCGTCTAAGTGTGTCGCCGTCCTTGCAGCGGCCGATTGGAACCCACGAGGTGTCAGGATAACAGTCTTCACTGAGGCGCAATTTAAGAAGATGCCGGCGCTTGTCCGAAGGCGGCGCAGCGATAAGTATTCGAAGGGCCACATTTTCTTTCCATTCGGCACATCCGAGCTTGAATGGACTGGCGAGGTGCAAACCATCAAGCCGCTTATCGCTGAGCTCCTTTCAGCAGACGAGATTATCGGCACGTGGCGAGGCGGGGAGACGGCAGCAGGCGGCGGGTGGATGTCGGACGAGTGGAAAGAGATGGCCATCAAAAGTTTCCTCCCCACGTTCCATATGCCACTTGTCCGTTGGCGAACGACCCACACAGACTGAGACGCGGTCACTCTGTCTGCCTGTGGTGCTTTACAGACACGTATCCAGCCAGGAGTCCGGGATGATTGCACGCGTGTCAAGGCCAAGGCCAGGAAGGACAAGCCCGACACGTCGACCCTGGGGAATAAGCTCCTCAAGTCGAAGCTCGAGTACCAGTGTCTCTCCTACACAACCCCCGAACAGGTGCAAGAAAGGACAAACTCTCGTCCACTCATCCTCTCATCGTTTCTGTTCCTCCCGGCCCTTTCGGGCCTCCCACTCGCCAGAGACGGAGGGCTTTTGGCAGCCGCAGAGAACTAGCACATCTGATGAATTCGGACTTCCTGGTGAACGTTAAGTCGGCCGCTGATCTCGATGAGGCCCAGTACCTGCTTTGCAGGGCGAGGCTGTGCTACATGACGCAGCACGTAAGCCTGTCAACACACATACAATTGCAATGAATGCGCCAGATTGAATCAGGTGATTTTCCCTTACTTTCCACAACAGACCCCTCACTACTGCGACCGCGTGTTTGTGAGGAGCCTCTCACCCTTCATGCAGTGGAGCGGCTGCGACTACCAGTCGTTCCCAGAGATCGACATGTCGGACCACACACCAGTTGTGGCGCTGCTGCAGCTCAAAATGATCGGCATGTCCGACGAGAAAACTCGCGATGAGGAGGTGGATCCGACGCGTCTCTGAATGTGACTAGGGGAGTGGGTGATGGAACCTGCATGCAAGCATGATTCGAAGATGTGCGATCGACCATCGTCACATCAGTCCATTCGTTCGATGTAAGTACGTGTCTCTGGTCCATGCCTTACAAGCATGCCCCACGCACCCAGATAGAATGTCTACCGACGCTTCTCTCATCCACCATGAACGAAAAACCTGACCAATTCAGTCAGGGGCCCTTGCCTGGCTCCATCATCACACACACAAGCCCTCGTTTGGCAGACAGTCAAGGCTTCAGTCCGTGTAGTTCTCGTGGTGTCGGTGTCCAACTCAGAGGATCGGACGGCTGGTACCACTCGAGAGTGGTCGACGAAGCTTGTTCTTGTGAGGGGCCACCCCTGTCCAGAAAGTGACACGCAAAGATGCGGAGACCCATCTCGCGCCTGCACACAGAGAGAAATACAGCCCAGAGAAGGTGCCATGACTGCTCCAGGATATCCACATATCTGCCACGTGCTTACCTCCTCTCTTTGATTTCTCTGAGGGCCGCCTCCCTGTCCCCCTCTCCGTCTCTATCGTCCAGCCCAAACACGGCCGTCCCGCTGCCGCTCATCATGACGCGGCCAGCACCGAACACGCCCTCCAGGTCGCCCTTGAGCTCCCGCAACTCACCGTAGTTGGCGAATGCGGGAGGCTCCAGGTCATTGACGAGGGCCCCCTGGTCAGCGGCAGCCATCACGCCACCCGACTGGAAGAGGGACAGGAGAGAGGAGGGGGACGAGGGATGCAGCGCCGACAGATCAAGGGAACGGTACACCAAGGCTGTCGACAGACCCTGCATAAAGGAACGAAGTGGCCAGGCGTCGTGTGCGTCGGTATGCGTGTGTGATTGCATGCACCTGATTGGGCTTGACAATGTACACGGTGCTTGGCGGGTTCGGAAGCGGCTCCAGCGGCCGGATCAGCTCGCCCCTGCCCGTGCAGTAGGCCACCCCGTTGCTTAGAAAGAACGTGATGTCACTCCCAATCTCCCCCGACCACTCTCTCAACTCGTCCATCGACCGCCGCTCGTCCTCATCTCTCCCACACAGCCAATTGGCGGCCACCAGGGCTGTTGCCGCGTTGCCGGAGCCGCCGCCCAAACCAGCCTGATTGGGGATGTTCTTCTCCAGGTGAACTCGGAACCTCTTATCGGACCTGTCAGTCACAGACGCACACAGAGAGATTCACAAAGGGATGCGCATAGGCATGGATCTCTCCACATCTGCGCAGACCTGGTCTTGGCGCGAAAGAGGTCGATGGCCTTGAGGATCAGGTTGGAGCCGTCCGTCGGCACAGAGGGGTCGGTGCAGGTCAGCACGTCGTCCCCCTCTTCGCAGATAGAGAACGTCAGTCTGTCGCAGAGGTCGACGGTCTGAAAGAGTGACGCCAGGTCATGATAACCATCCGCCCTGCGGCCCAGGATGCGCAGAAACAAGTTGATCTTGGCGGGCGAGTAAAGGGTCACCGAAGAGGGCTCGGTGGTCATCTGCCAGGGTGGCCGCCTGCTCAGTGCTTCCTTACGATGCGGTTGCTCATTCCTGAGGCGTCTGTGATGAATCAGATGCGAGAAGGGAGATGAGGGCCGAGCGGGAAGGAACCCGACGCATCGTGGAATATTCGACGATAGGTGATGAGTCGCCACAGCAAGTGCGAGTGTAGCGAGCCATCCTGCGGCGCTCATCTTCGCATTTTCCTTTGGCGGCGGTTTCAGGGAGCGCATTTTCCGCATTGTGCGAGCTTTCGAGTGGATCGTCTTCCAAAACGGTGACGTGTGAGTTGAGTAGAACTATCGCATGCATCGGCCCGATGCCTAATTGGATTCATCGAGGTTCGTCTCAGTAAGTCGGGATGCAGCGTCATCACACGCACAACAACCGGCAGCGGCTGGTGTGGCGCCCCAAGAACCCTCAACCACAGCCTGGACCACAGCAACAACAGCAACAGCAACAACAGCAACAGCAACAGCAGCAGCAGCATCCCGTGGCATACCTCTGCGTCGGGAGGCGCAGCTTCTTCCTGCTCAGCCTTGAGGACATCCTGCGCCTCAGAACCACATCCAGATGGCTCAGCGCACTCTTCAGGGCGGCCCAGCTGCGGCAGCGGCTCAGCCACGCCCTCAGCACAAAGGCGGGGCTGCGGCGCGTAGTCAACGGGCAGACGGTGGAGTTTCTGCGGTTCGATGAGCAGGAAATGGGTGTGGCGGACCTGCTGGCGGCCATGTGTGTGGTGGATGCGGGGGGCTGGGGTAAGATGGGCAAGGCGATTGAGCTGGCGGGGCAGTGTGGGTGCTGCCAGCTGCCCCTCACTGTCACGCCTGCTGACCTCAACCAGTACGCAAACAAAACGGTATGAACGAAGGCAGGATGAACGACTATTGAACGAATGGCCTACCCCACGGCGCTGTGCTGTGCTGTGCTGTGCTGTGCTGTGTGTCTGCAGGCGTTTCTGGCCGATGCGCGTGTTTTGGCCCATCACAAGATCGTAGGCCGCCACATCAACGTCGGCGGCAAGACCCTTGAGTGGTTCCGCCAGTCGACAGACGTCGACTCGCCCCTTTGGGCCGGGCACCGGTAACATCCACCCCAGCAGGATGATCCGCCGGCCAGCAGCAATATGGCTTATGCCCCGGGGTACGGCTGGGGGGGGATGGGCGGTGCTGGCATCCGGTACTCATCTCTGTCGTCGTCCGTCACGGACATCGTCCTGTACAATCCTCAGATCAGCAGAACGGAAAAGGCGATTGGAAGGTGCGTGAGGCCCTGGCTTGACCACCTTCACTCACGGGGCATGTCTGCGGGTCTCTGGTGTTGTCCTCAGTCGTGTGGACAACCATCGGCTGCACAACCTGATGACGCAGTCCCCTCACGCACCAGTGGCGGGATGCAGCAGCACCACCGCCTTCCTCAACGCCTCCAGCGACGATGTCAACTGGTACCGTCGGCTCGTGTTGACGGACGCCAGCCATGCCTTCGTCGCGTGGGTCCAACTTGTGGAGCTGCCGATGGTCGGTGACCCTGGTAGGCATGGCACTGGACAGCACAGCCCGCAATGGAGCACTCACGTTAGTCCCTGGTTTTCGTTTGTGTTGATGCAGTGGGCGTCACTGTCTACACGACTGAGCCGCCCGTGTCTGGTGTGGGTGAGGCGTTCAAGAACCGCCATCCGGTGACCACCCGACTGGCCCGTGTGGCACTGGGGTCCGCTGTTGCGCGGATGATCTTCGACCGATAGGTGAGGGAGCAAGGCACCCAGCAATGACTGCAGAAGAAGAATTCCCGCTCACTCTCTCTCGGCCTTGTGTGTCAGGTTGCGCAGTGTAGCAACGGTGCTGTTTGGAGGGAGAGAGCATGGTTGGCTGGCTGGCTGGCTGGCTGGCTGTGTATATGGGTACACTCATTGCCTTTGCGTCCGTGTGTTTGGCTGCGGCGCCCTCTTTCCGTTTTGGCCTGTGTCAATCAATCAATCAATATGGCTGGCTGCCTTGCCTTGTATGCGTGTCGCGTCACATTGCAGGGGATGTGGTGTATGTGTGATATATCTCTATATATCCCGGCCGACTTGTCCATGGAAAGCAAAGCATGACAGAATGAATGAATGACTCATCGCTGAATGATATTATGCGCCCGTGTTATACGATGAACTCTCTGCACGTTTGTCGGCCTTGAGCTCCTCCTTGGCTTCTGCGAGCTTAGAGATGACGAGCTGTTGGTTTCTCGACAAGACATCAACGAAGTGAGGAAAGGGGACGCCCAGGGTGGCGCTGCTCGACTGAAATCCACAGGAAGAAACGAGCAAAAGGGCGTGCTTGTACGTCAGACGGAGGTACGAAGACGCGACGATCAACAACACCACAGCCCTCTCTCCCTCTCTCCCTCTCTCCCTCTGTCCCTCTGTCCCTCTGTATTGTGGTTGCCTTCACCATCAGGGCTTTTTGCGGTTTTGAGCACTCGCTGAGGTACGAAGCCAAAACACACACCTGCGGGCAGTGAGAGTCAGATCCGTGGTTCCCCTCCTTGTGTGTCTTGCGTGTGTTCAGTGTTGTTGCTGGTTGAGATGGCCACCATGCCTTTCCTGTGTCAGCCCAAGAGCTTTCTGTGGCCCGAGCACGTCAGCCACCAGGTCACCCCGACGGCTCCCACATATCCACTCAGATTGACTGGGTGTGTCTGATGATGTGTTGAATGCAGGTCACCCCGAGCGACATCTTCAAATACCGCCATGTGCCGCCCGCAGCGACCTTCTTCTGGCGGCTGGCCGTCACCGTCTACTTCATCGTGTGGTTCTTCATGGGCTTCGACCTCGCCCCCTCAGCACTCTACTTCTGCTTTCTCACCAACTGGGGCTGGACTTTGTCGCTGGCGTACTTTGCCTTCGCGACGGTCCACAACTGGTATGTCTGGCGGGAGGAGATGGGCGAGCGGCGGATAGGCAGTGAGGGCGACAGTGCGCTGCTGCTGGAGCAGAGCCAGGCGCGGCTGAGGCTGCACAAGACCATCACTCTGCTGTTCGAGATCGCTTTGCCGCTTGAGATCGTCATCGCGAGTTTGTTCTGGCTGGTGGTGTGGCCGGTGTTGCACGAGGAGCACATCCTGGACCACGGCTTCCCCCTTTACATCAACCTGAACCTCCACGCTGTTGGTCTGGGGCTGCTGGCCATCGAGTTCTTGCAGCACCAGATCCCCTTCTTCTCGCGACACCTCATTGTGTCACTGCTGCTGGGCGCCGTCTATTGCCCTATCAACGCAGGTACGCACCTGGTGCCGAGTGGGCAGGCGGGCAAGAATGGATGCATCTAAATGGTCTCTGCGTGAACGTGCTGTATATGTGTGCAGGGGCGACATTCCTGACCGGGAAGCCGCTCTACCCGGTGCTGACGTGGCAGGACTGGAACTCGGCCATTCTGGTGGTGGTGGCCTTCCTCGCGCAGACGGTCTTCCACTTCCTCTGTCAGGGCATCCGGCTCACCTGCTGCCGGAGGAGGACGGCAATCGAGCCGTCGATGGCCAGCCAGCTGCCGCTGCACCAGCCGGCGTCCCTTGTGGCAGAGCCGGCCAGCGGCGAGGAGACGAGCGCGTCGGACCATGAAGGGAGGGGCGTCACGGTTGCCGTCAAGGCAGGTGCGTGAGTGGGCATGACGTTGTGTTTTTGTGAGTGATGTGGTGAGAACTCGTGGATGGTGAGTGAGCTACTCGACGGATTCGCGAAGCGAAAGAGCCTTGGTGTGGCGTGCGCGTGTGTCGTGTGTGCTCGTCATGGCCGATCGACGGACGCATTTTGGTCCGTCGTCAGGGAAGGAAAGGTGCGTGTGCCGTGGGCTGCGTGCGTTTGACGTTTTTGAACCCGTCTATGTGACAGCCAAGCTAGAAAGGGACGCAGGTAGTGTTGTTTGCCATTTAGACTCGCACGGTGCGTCTGCGTGGACCAAAACAGAGGAAAAATCGCTGCCCTTTGGCCAGGATGGCCGCTAACGGCCGTCCTAACTCGCTGTACAAGTGTAAATTGAGTCTGTGTGACCCTAGGGGTATGTGGTGCAGTGCCGGCATGGACCTCGTGGCTCTGTTCGTTCTCATCATCATGCTCATCCTGGTCATCAGGTTCGTCCCGCCCCTCATCAAGACACTCCTCAAAGCGTGGAACCTCTGGTATACCGAAAACGGGACGCTGTCGAGCAATGTCCCACTCGACACCATCGGCTCCGGCCGGCGGACGCCAGACGCGGCGTCCAAGAGCAGAGTCATTGACCTCTGGGTAAAAAGCCATCCGATTCGCCGCCTGGGCAGCTCTGTTCTGTGTGTGGTGTTGGTTGTCAGGTCTTCCCCTTCCGCCCCCAGGAGAACAAGCCTCTTGAGGCCTCCCCCGTCGACAGCCCTCAGGCGGCGTGCTGCATCTGCCTGTGCAGCTACGAGGCCGACGACAGCTGCACCACCCCATCGGTCCCCACCTGCTTTGACCAACACGTCTTCCATCGGCAGTGCCTTGAGACCTGGATAGCCACCGGCCACAGGAGCTGCCCCATCTGCAGGGCGCCGCTCGACTGCGATGCGGCCTCGCGGCACGTCGACGACAGTCCCCAGTGTGTGCTGGTGATGCCGGCAGACAAGGATGCGAGAGGGCGGGAGATGGTGCGCATTCAGGTGGGGCGGGCGGACGATGGCCGACGGAGGGCCGCAGGTTTGGCACATGATAGGCCAGAGGTCTGAGTGAGTCCATTGCGGCATGCGCAAGAGGGAACAAGAGAAAGAGCTGTGACGTGTGTGGCTCACACACTAGTACTGACCTGTGTGGTGCGTGCTGTGTATTTGGGTTTGCTGTGTACGCCTGTGTGTGTGGGTGCGGGTATGCCTGTGTGTGTGTGTGTGTGTGTGTGTGTGTGTAGCTGCGGGTTGCCTTTGTCACAGGGGAGAGAGATCTCGAGAGTGACTTTTCATCGTATGTGTGGGTTCTGTCTGGTGCGTGTAGTGGTGTGGGTATTGATGACATTTCAGCTATGCACATGTGTCGGCATGTAATGTAATGGACTACACATGGCTGGCCGGACACACACACACACACAGAGAGAGAGAGAGAGAGTGCCGTCGCTCAATTCTCTGCTGCCAGCATAATGCACGAAACGCGGAGAAGCAGAGAGGTCATCCACACATCCATCCACATCCATCCCTCCATGTACGTCACACACACTGCTCATACATAACGCAGGCAGACAGTGAGAGAGCGACATGGGGCTCGTGTGTGTGTGTGTGCCTGCCCGTCGGGCAGGCAGGCAGGCAGCAAGGTGGGCCGGTCAAAAACCACGAGTATATACATCTGATCTGATGGCGGGCCCGCCTTGCCCTCAGGCAGACAAATCCGACATGTATATACAGAAAGCAATAACACAAATACACACACACTGAATGGACGAGAAGAGGGAGAGAGGACCGATAAGGAAGAAGATTCGCTACTCCAAGTCAGGCCCTTTCGGTGGCTAGCTGGCTGGCTGGCTGGCTGTCGCCCCTGTCTGTCGCCCCTCTTTCCTTCCAGTGAGATGCTGCCGTTCAGGCAAGCCGCCACATGGACAGAGAGATTGAGAGGGAGCCGTCGCTCGACCCTGTGTGGGCATCACAAGAGAAGGCAAGGGGCTCAGAAGCATCGTGTGCCCCCCCAGCCGATATATAGGTATGCAAGTATACACAAGTGAATGCAGTCTACACACACACAGAGATCGGTTGGCCCGTCACGACACCTTCAGCGGCGCCCCGGCTTGCTTGCCATGTGATCGTTGTTGAGCCGCATCCATGAGGCTCAGACGAGGCACACATGGCTGGCCAGCGCGCGACTGATGAGTCAGTGACTTCAGACACAGCTGCACACACCAATGACTACGGACACTTGCACACGAACACCGAACACCACAACACAAGCACACACACACACGCCCTGCGCTGCCCTGCCCGATCCGAGAGCGAGAGAGGAAAGCACCTCTCACACACATCGATCCATCCATCCATCCACGAGTGCATGGTGCGGTAGCAGTGTTTGTGTGTGCGATAGAGGTGAGCTGTGCCTGCCTGTCTGCCTGCCTGTCTGCCTGCCTGTCTGCCTGCCTGCCTGCCTGTCTGCCTGTCTGCCTGTCTGCCTGCCTGCCTGTCTGCCTGTCTGTCTGTCTGTCTGTCAACCATCGTCTACTCAAAGAAGATGCCAAAGGCCTCTGCCGTCCCGTAGATGACCTCACAGGACTTCTCGATTTCGGCCTGCATCTCCCTCCGGTCGCTGCCCGTGAGAAAGGCGAGAGCTACCCTCATCGGGCGGATGTCCTGGGGGTGGTAGGATAGCAGTGCACGGGAGCTGGCGACCGACTCACGAACCGCCGCCACCGCCTCCTCCACTCGCCCCACCGCGAACAGACCATACGACCGCAATGCCAGCAGCCTCGCGACCATGATGGTGTCGACGCTCAGGCCGCGCACTTTCTGCAGCATCTCGTCCACCTCACGCAAGCCCTCCTCTCCTGGGCCCAACTGCTCCAGCACTTCCATCCGCTGCTCCACCTGCTCGATCACCTTCGCCTTACCCCGGCTGTATCGCTGGTGGGGGTCGGGAAGGTCGTAACGCCTCGCTAGCTCCCTCTCGGCAGCCAAGGTGGTTTTGAAAAGTGGATAGTAGGAGACGGTGATCTCACTGCCACAGGCGATCGGCCTGACAGCACGAACGATCAGGAGCTGTTCGACAGAATACCTGTCAGACAGCACAATGAGCCTGAGCCGTCTCAACAGTGCCATTTGCGTGGGTCTGGGGCTTACCAGAGGGCATTGCGCTTCGTGCCGGCGTGGCTGAACAGCGAGAGCAAAGGCCACAGACGACCTGCATCGCAAAAGTCATTTCAAACACAGTCCTCTGTCTGCAGCTCTCTGCTGTGTTTCTCACCGGACGCGTTCACAGAGGCGACACCCATGGCTCGCAGGGAATTCTCGGCTGGCAGGGGAATCTCGACGAGGACGACGTCATCAGCAGCGCGAGTATTGAAGTCCAGCAATCGGCGGAGGTGGCCAGGGTCGCTGTCGATCTGCGCCACAGGCGGGCCGAACTCCTCTCCAGTGGCCGACCAGATAAACCGCGGCAGGAGGGGAAACGACGGAGGCAGCCCAAGACAGGTCTCTGGGGCTGGAGGGGCCGCAATGGCCAAACCGCCTATGGCAGACGGCTGTCCCCTGCCGGGCGGCAGACAGCACAGCTGAGAGACCAGCCGAGGGTGCCAGCTGTCTAACTGAGATGTCAGCCGTGCCAACAGCCGCTCGCCGACTCGCCCACTGTCTTGCGACGATGCCCGCTCCACCATTACGGCCTTCTGGACGATCAGCAGCTGCCCCGGCTGGATGTCCTGTGTGGCGATGAGGGCCGGCTGGCTGTGCGGATGGCGAGAGGCCCGACGTAGTCAGCCACGTCGATGTGTGTGGTCCTGCCGGTCTGTCTGTTCTGCGCGTTGCCGATTGCCTGTCGGTAGATGGCCGCCCAGTCATACTCTCCGCTGGCGTTGGCCGCGTGGGTGCTGATGCGCCGCTGCAGCGTGGTGACATCTGCCGCCATCTGATCCTCCAGACCCTGACGGACACACACACAGGGGTCACCGGTTTCTCCCTCCTCTCTTGTCATGAGCATTTTATTGCTTACGTGTTGGGTGAGCGCCTGGACGACGGCATCGGCCGCGTCGAAGAGCCGCTCCGCCAGCAGCCCCTGGCCCAGCCGAATGAGGGTCTTCTGCTGGATGGCACTCAGCTGCTGGCAGGGCCCCTTCAAGCAGCTCAGATGGAATGCGGCGGCAGCACAGCCGACGGCGTCCGGCCCGCCCTCCTTGATGAGCTTCGGCTGGAGCAGACACGCAGCCGCGTTGCTCAGCAGTGCCACGAGGGTCGACACGTCAGCGGCCGCCAAACCAGCGGTGAAGACGTCACGCGCATCGGCGTATCTCTCGCCGTCCTGCAGCGCCGCGCCTCCGTCAGTGCATTCATCACTTGCTGCGATGCGTCGACGACCGGCCGGTCTGTCGAGCACAAGTGCGTCATGGCGTCCCTCATGAGGGCCGCTATCGCTTCCGTCGACGGCAACACGATGTCTTGGTCACCGGCCGCTTCGTCCTGACCCCGTCGACGTCTCGGTCGGCCGCCGGTGAGCTGCTGGATGAGGGGCTTGTAGAGCTTTATGGCGACCTCCTGGACGGTGGCGCTCTTGCTGCCGGCCTCGATGGACGGCGGGGGCAGGAGGATGCGGAGGGCGGTGGTGACATCGATGAAGGCAGCGAGGTAGCTCTCCAGCCCGATGAGGCACTGGGAGCGGCGAATGAGCAGCTCAGCGAGGGTCTCACGCTCCGCTCGAATACCCTGACGCCACACAGAGAGACAACAGCAGGAAGCCGTGTGCATCGACGGGTCAGACGTGACAGTCACTGTGTGTGGGCCACCTTGAGATACGAGCGGTAAGCGTCGAGATACTTGCCGGCCGTAAAGAGAGTGTTGCCAGTGCTCTTCCACTCGCCGGCAGTGGACGGCCCAGAGGCAGATGCACTCGCACCAGGTGCCGCAGCCGCAACACCCCTGCAAACAGTAGAGCAGCGACAGAGAGCGACGAAAGATGTCAGAATGATGGTGGTGCTGTCCATCGTCTCAATCAAGTGTACGGCTCACGTGTCGGCACTCGATGAAGACGGCTGACGAGGGTCCTCCCCGATTTGAGCGCCTGACCGGCTGCACACACCACACCCACAGCCAGAGAGAAAAACACTAAGACATTCGTCAGCCGCAGTTGGTGTGTATGGTTCTTGCCTGATTACCTTGCGATGTCACGGCGAATCAACTGATCCTGGTTGCCGTTCATCCTGGTTCGCCTCTGGCCGGCTCTCCAGGCTGAGCCCTCGTCGATGAGTGAATCAGCGATGAAGGACCAGCAGCTGCACCACAGCCGGACTCCAGGCCATCACAGCTCTCACACACTCCCTTCCTCCTGTTTTTCACTCCCAGAGAGAGCGGTTTCACGCAATGTCCTAAGCGGCCTGACGTTTTCACTCCCAAGAATGCGAGCTTGAAAAAAAAATGCCAGCTCGCGGTGGAGGCAGAGAGATCACGAGGCCATACAACACACATCTGTCGTTGCTGTAGGGCCGCGGAAAGAGAGATCACCGCCTTTTTTGCCTCGATGGCTTTGGCTCGGGCCTCTGTCGCTCTCCGAGGCGTCCGCCGGCCTGTGGCGGCATCGGCCTCGCAGTCGTGTGTGGGGTGGTCAGACGGCGGCAGGCGACACTACAACAAGCCGTTCAAGTCGTACTGGGAATACAAGCCCATGGACAATAGGCCTTTGGAAACGGTAGGCTCGAGGAGTGATGGACACCTCACACACGCAGCCCGATGGATGCTCTCTCTGTGTTTGTGTTTGTCATTTGCCGTCCCGTGTGCTGTGTGTGGCTCAGTGGGAGGAGGTTGAGATGAATCGTCCGAGGAATCCTTCGGTCAACGAGGGCTACGCGCGGCCGACCAAGGCGCCCACGCAGTTTGAGCTCACTCGCGAACAGTTCCACCAATTCATGAGAGGTACGTCGGTGGATGGGGGGCGGGCGGTGGCCATGGCTCACCGCGGGTGTGTGTGTGTGTTGTGTGTGCAGGGACGCCCAAGGCGTTCAGTCCTCGTCTGAAGGGGAATCTGACGGCGATCGGTTTGGTCATGTTTATGGCTTTTGAGATGGCCTTCACCTTTTACCAAATGCGGCCCGACGACTTCGAGTGGGTCGAAGACGAACGGTGCGCACACCAGCTCACCTCCACACATACATGGATGGATGGATCGATGGATGGATGGACGCCATCGTGTATGTGTGTGCAGGAAGCGCCTCGAGGCCGCCCGCAAGAAGCTGC